ATCCTTTATTATGCATTTTCTAATTATGCACATTAATAACGTAGTAGATGATGAAATTTTAAAAAAGAAAATTTAAACATTGCTAATCAGTATTTAGCATTAAATTTTCGACTTAAAATTCAACACAAGAGGACGAAATAATGTCAACTCACATACAGTTTATGTGATAATGAGACAATTCTTAATTTTGGACAATAATCTCAGGGGCAAAATTATTTATAATGTAAAATGAGAATGAAGAAAATTTTGTAAATCGAGGTATGTTTAATTAAATTTTTGTGTTTCTTTTTATTTTAAAGAATCAAGTTCATTATATTTCTAATTATTTAATGATTTTTTTTCGATCCCTGCCCTTTATTAGTGTCGATAGTAAGGATGCTAGTCACAAGCGATATTTAAATTTTTTTTTACAAATATCCCTTTTTGAACTGTATAAAATTGTTATCTGGTAACAATCAATTGGGTTAAGCAAAAACAACAAGATTAATCACTTAATCGAAAGCAACACTTTTTATTACCTTGAGGACCATTTAGACGCCGGTAACGAAATTTGTTGAAATCACGTGATTTTATCATGGAATGAAGGCATATGTTGCCACTTATGTTGGGCGATATAACGAAGAACGAGATGTAGATAAATTAACAGGTCGTACAAAATATCTCTGGAACTGTTCCGCCTCTTTCAGCGCGTCTGTAACGACCAATTCACAACGAAAATATACGCAAATCGGTTAAAAGTACGAGGGTTTTAGGAAAGGACAAATTTGAGTTGGAAATTCAAATGATATACGAATGGTGCATAAAGATAATTTAGAGAACAAATCGGTAAACATTAGTTTTTATTAATAAATTACAGGATCTATCGACACAGCGTAACACATATATACTTTATCAGAATATTTCCACAGATATACCTGTACATTAACGTAAGGTATGTTATCTTAAAGTTAAATATTTGTGAGCGACACTGTCATCGGTGTTGCGTCCAGAGTAGACATACAGGAAGACTAAAAAACAATATTGTGCGAACCAAATCTTTAAAACAAAAAAAAAAAATTCAAAAATATAGTCACTTTTTTTAAATCTCTTTCACAAATGATTAAAAGTTGATATTTTTATCATGGTCATTTTTTTATAATAAAATTATAATTGTCTTTCAGAGCTAGCAACTGATGGATTTGGGCAAGCTGAATTAATTGCTTGAGGCGTAGGACGATTTGGATAATTCTATGAAATAATCATTAGTTAAATTTGTAAAATTTATTTAGTAATTTATTTCAATAAAATAAATCAAATAGTAGTACCGTAAAATTATTTTTATAGCAAATAAATTATAAATTATTATTTATATAAATGTGTTTAAAATTATATTAATTTTGAAAAATTAGAATCTCTAGTAATTAAAGTACATTAACCATTAGACACACCGCTAATATAATCCTTTTTTAGACGTTTACGGTATGTGTGTATATATATATATTTTTTTTTTCGAGAAAATGATATTTCTTGGTACAGTATTCGAAAGTATTTAATTAAATTATTTCAAAACTAGGAAACGAGAACCGTTATACAGACTGAAGTGCTGTTTCTGATACTTAAAGTTCGTTTATATCAATAGCGTTACTTTTGTAATATATGCAGGGCAAACAGACATATGACTGCATGAGTTGATATTTTACTTAATAATGCGTCAATAATGTAACTTTTGCATAACTTTCGTAATAATACATAGTCCTTTGTTACACTTCGAACGCCGTTCTTTTTTAAATTCTATATAATTGGATCGCCCCACATTATGAATCTTTTAGAGAAGATTGAGAATGGATAATCAGAAGAAATTCGCCCTTCGCTCTCTAAGAAAAAAAATAAAAAAATATAACTTTTTATATTTTTTTTAATAAATTTAGTATATTTTTTTGATCAGTTAGTGATTTTTTTATGTCACAATTAATAATTTTATAAATTTAAAAAGACAGTAAAGGTAGAATTGTGATTCACTTAATTATGAAATTTTGCTTTTTATAATAAAAAAATTTATATATATATAAAGACGAACTTATAAAGAATACAAAAAAAAAATTATAAATTTATATTTATGTTAAGACGAACTATAGAAGAGAGATGAAAAGAATAAAAAAAAAATAAATTAATTATGAAATATGAATTGAGATAATAAATTTATATTTATAAAATGACGAACTATAGAAGAGAGATGAAAAGAATAAAAAAAATTAAATTAATTATGAAATATGAATTGAGATAATAAATTTATATATATAAAGACGAACTTATAGAAGAGAGATGAAAAAAATAAACATATAATCATAATAATTTAATTATAATAATTTAATCATAATAATTTAATCATAATAATTATTGATTAATATTCATGCCCCGAAGACAGTGGCCTGTCGGGGATGATATTGCATATCTTGTATTTTGCAATAATTGCATAACATAAATTTTCTTATGTTTAAACATTTTTGCGTTATAAAATCTTATAATAATTATATTTTTATGGTACACGAGCATATTTTCTCGTCACAATTGTCGCAATCGTCACAATTGTCGCAATTGTCGCAACCGTCACAATTGTCGCAAGTCGCAACTGTCACAATTGTCGCAACTATCACAATATTCGTTATTTGTATTTATTAAAATGATTTATTTGTTAAAGGTTTAGGTTTTAGTAATAATATTATCATGTTTTTGTAAGGGTTAAAAATTTTTAAATTTTATTAATTAGATACTAAATAATTAGATACTAATAAATAATTGTTCCAAAGATGAATTTTTTTTTGTCGTATAAATACAAAAAAAACAACTCTACCGTTACATACATTACATATCATATTCCTTTCTATACAGAAAACTTCAATCAGGATAAAAATAGCTGAAAAATTTCATTATAAGAATACTCAAAATGAATAAAGATATTTATAAATTTTTTTTCTTTGTTTCCAATATTTTTTTTTAGTTAAATATAAATTCTATTTTTGTTTTGTTTTTGATCTAGTTAATTTTCGTATGATTGATTTGATTGTTCTTGTGATACATTACGTATGATTGTTATTGTCCAAAAGCTCCTTTGGATTCGCAGAGTCGCGAATATCAAACATATAATCTAAATTTTCTTTTTAAATGTACAATAGGATTGATTTATTATTTGTGCATTAATAAATAATAACTGCATCATCTTTTCGAAAGAAGTCTATCACGCTACCTCAGAAGGCTACCAATGTAGTAAAGAGCGGTGATAAAAATTATTCATTTACATCAGCGCATAATATACTATTTTTAAAAGGTCTATGATAAGTATATAAAATTCACGCAATACAGTATTTAAACAGTACCTATCGGTAATAGAATATTTGTTATTGCAAAAATACCGTAAAGTCCCGAATATATGCACCAAAGCATCCCTTACCAGAATTATGATAATTTTGTCCTACATTATGATGTGCTCGGCACGCATTACTTTATCGGGACTTTACGGTATCAATGAATACTAGGTAATTGTGGCTCAGACCTAAAAGGTTGCTCATAAACTGTATATTATTAAAATACAAATTGGAATTCAAAGATTTTAAAGAAACTATAAAAAATTTATGTTAAAAACTATAATGATTAATGAGATTAAGACTTGATCTATATACATTTTAGTTAATAAATATCACCTATAGAAAATTAATCTAATTTATTAGCTATAATACCAATAGAAATATTAATAACAGTTTGGTCTAAAGTCTAAATTATTAGAATTACAGTTTAATCTAATAGATCAATTTGAATTAAATTAATATATACCAATTTTAGTTTTTAGAAACCAAGATTTCCCTATAAAAAATATTTTTGCCAAAATATACTTAAAATAAACTTAAAATTTTATTTTATACTTAAAATATACTGAAATGGGTAAAAATTAAATATTATTTAAGTATAATTTAAGTATATAATAATATACTTAAAATATTCTTATTTTAAATGTCCTTAAAATATATAGAAATGAGCAAATTTAAGTGTAAATTAAATATAGTTTAAGTATATATTAAATATAATTTAATTCAAATTTTGTGAAAATTCAATTTTTAGTATATTTTAAGTATAAAATAAGAAAATTAAGTATATTTTAAAGAAAATTAAATATATTTTAAATATATTTTAAGTAAAATTTTTTTTATAGGGTTTTAGTATTAGTTATAATCTGTTATTTTTTTTAATTTTATAGCTAAAAATGTCTCACTTGAAGAAATACACTAACAATATTGACCTTGAAAAGATCACAGAATACAATATTAATGGAAAGAACTTTCTTGAAATACTACGTATTGCCCTTCAGAAGGTTGAACTTACTCATCCAACCACTATTTAAGGATATGTAGAGCGTATGTTACCTGCTTAAGAATACTGACAACAATACTGAAACTTTTACTAAAACCCATAAAACAGTACTTAAAGAACTTGGTGTTAAAAATGAAGTATAACATACCTACTTGTTGTTTACTCTCGCCGCTATTGCTGATGAGTAGAGTTCCAATCCGTCATCCGACGAATGATCAATCTCTTCTCATTTATTTTTGGAAAGAGACATTTATGTTTCATAATTTATAATTTAGGAACTGCATTCGATGTAAGGTGATCAGACTATGCATTATTTAATTAATTGAACATAAAATAAATGGGGTGAAATCTTAGTCAGATTGAAATTTTCATCTGTCGGATGATATTTTAATTCGTTCCTAATTTCTCCTTACTTTCATTTTTGAAAAAAAAGTTTATTTATTAAATTATATACTGTATTATGCTCTTAGGATATCCTTAGAAAAAAAATGCTTTTTTATATTAATTAAATGAGCGTACAACTGTCAAAATGTGATTATCCGTCGGATGACGGATTGGAACTCTACTGATGAGTACAAAGTCTCTTTGAAGAATTACATAGACAAAACTATTCAATAACAAAAGTGGCGCAGTTTGAGTCAACAGAACTAACCAATGATATGCCAGTATCAGCACAAGTACAGCTGATGGAAACAGAAATTTTTAAAAATATCGAACACCAATTAATGGATGTAGAATATGATGATCAAAACATTGAATACCAATCAGAAGACGTGATTGCCAAATCTTCAACAAAGAACTTAAAAAAGAGTACATAAAATTGAACGTCAAAGCCGTACCTTATATCCCAAAAGGAAAAGGACATATTGTTATGTTTGCAGAAATAGCCTCCAGGAATCTAGATGTAGGCAGCACTTATGACATTTCCTCCACTCCTTCTGGTAATAGGCAAAAAATTAACGTGATAAGCGCATAGCATCTGATAGTAAAGCTCAGCCAGTTAAGAAGAAACAACAATGCGCTTCTCCAAAAGAAATTCAATCAGTAATGACCAGATATGATCTAATACTCAAGAACAATGTTCAGGAAATTACTTTATACAACATCCCTTCCACTTGGACTCAACTCGAACTTCTTCAACATCTTGAGAAATGGGGTTACGTGATCGCTTTCAAGACTAAACGTTAAAAGAAATGTTCAACAGTCACTGTCTCAATTGACTTCAACAAGTAGGTTATGAGTCTATGGAATCAAGAAGTCTGGACCACTACTTTAAAAGGCAATGATATTCTGCTAACTGGAATCTTCAATAAAAAAAGAAAAGAGAACAATTTTGGGCTGTAGTAAAAAATTTACCTGGAAATATCACCACCTTGATGCTATATCTCTCGGATTCTATCCAATTACCTATATCCCATCTGGGATGCAAAACTTTTAAAATGGTTCAGGAGAAAAATACCTGCAAGCTTATCACATATTACGAAAATTGTGCAGATTTAGATAAAATTACGAATACTAAGCTGAACTTGCAAGAATTTGAAGGTATTTGGACTAAGTATTTCTCACCTCAACTATCTAAAGTTTATAATCGATCACTAGTTTCTTTAGATTCTTGAAAGTAGAAGAATTCATTTTCTTTCCAAAAGGTTTACTCTCCTTAGATTTGTTATTTGTAGTATTTGGTCTAACCTTGTTAGCTGAATTTTGGTTCTGCTTCTGATTACGGCCACTTCTTACTGAAGGTTTGGATGGTAGCGAATCTGAAAAACTCGCAGAAATCAAATCGTTACTAAAAAGGCTAGAGAACTGATGGGATGACTGCTTATCTTTGGTGACTATAGGTAGAATGTAAAAGATATTATAGTAAACTTCATATTTGTAGATTACTAATATTTTTTATTTAGTTTACCCCTTTTTTAATTTTTTTTTTTTTACCTTAATTTTTCTGTTGTTACTCCTTTTATTTTTTTGTTTAAATTTGAGTTTCATCTGCAATAACAATAAGTTTTTGGGGACTTATAGTGTAGACCGGAAGGAGAAAATCTCTCTAAAAAAGGAGGTCTTCAAGGTATATTTACTCCCCTAGCCTAAGTCCTTCTCTGACAGTACACACATAGTTACTCTATTGTGAGTTAATAGGTGGTTTAGTTTTTAGTATTTATTTAGGATCTATAACTAGTTCTACGTATATTGTATTAAAATTGGTTTCTATAAAAATCTTAATAAAGAATTATATGAGCTGCAGCAAAAAAAAAAAAAAAATTTTAGTATTAGTTTACCTATAAATTCCTTTTATTTAAAATTACTGAGTTATAATTATATAAAACTAACATTAAATTAATTTTAATTCTTAAAATAGTTAAACTTTAACTTTTAAAAGTTAAAAATAGTGTTAAATATACTACATGGTAATTTGGTTTTAGGTTACCATCATCAGGAGATTATATGAGGCAAATATTAGCATAAAGTTGTCAAATATGTATAATCTCTGGAAACTTACATTCCGTAAAAATCTATAAATATACGATTTTGTATAAATTACACTTAAACATGGTTATTTAAAAAGGCATATCTTAAAAAGTGCCATAAATTATTCATGAATGAGTTGTTTCAAAGTTTTACATTTTGAAATAATTTCTTAAATATATGATTTTAAGTAATCTATATATAAAATCAATTTAAATAATACTTCATTTATTTTGCATCTTAAAAAGTTTTATAAATTCTACATAAATACTGTAGTTTTGAAGTTTTACATCTTAAAAAAATTTTTTAAATATACAATTTTAAGTAATTTACACATAAAAATGATTTAAGAAATACTTCATCGATTTTGTATTTTAAAAAGTTTCATAAATTCTACACAAGTAGGTAGTTTCAGTAATCTACACTTTAGAAATTTACATAAATATATGATTTTGCATAATCCACACATGAAAATGTAAAAATATTTTGAATAAATTTGAAGTTATATAAAATTTACACAAATAGGTAACTTTGGTAATATATTTTCGTAATCTATACTTTAAAAGAATTATATAAATACACAAATACAAAGATAAAAGGTTTAGGTATGTCTTTATTTTAAGATACAGTAAATATAAAATATAATATTAATAATTAAAAAAAAAAGAATAAATAGTGTAGTGGTTAGATAATGAGACTTAATATATTAATAATTTGTCTTGAAGTATTCAGTTTNTAAATAGTGTAGTGGTTAGATAATGAGACTTAATATATTAATAATTTGTCTTGAAGTATTCAGTTTGACTCTTAGTGTAGTAAAAATAAATAAATAAAATCTAATTAATAGTTTGACTCTTAGTATAAGTAAAAAAAAAATAATAAAATGTAGAAAAATATCAGAAAAATATACAAGTAAAGGAAAGTTAGAAAAAGAATTATAAAGAATTTATTATTTTTACTGTTAAACTACATTGTTTTTTACTATTAAAAAACTATATCGTTTTTAAGAATACACTATTTTATACCATTAAAAAATTTCTTTAAAATTTTCACACTCGTATATATATTATCACAAATGGTGTAGATTTGTGTAGTTTTTCACATATGTATTATTTTATAGATCTACGCTTATTTTATTCTCCTGATGATGTAACTTTTATTTACAATTATATGCTATTATACTATCAAACAATAGAAAAGTTTATTAAACAGGTTATTCAATCCCCTCTTAAAGTTCCATTAGCTATAGCAAAAGTAGTATTTAATGAGAACAAATGCAGTAAGGTGTAATAGATTTATTCAATACTGATATCAAGAAATTAGTTATTTAAAACAACTTGTATATAAAGGAAAAAGGCCTTATAAAAGACATAAAAGTAGTACTAAATAGTTTATTCTAAATATAAAGAACAAGAATTAAATTCTGGTACAAAAAAAGTGGATTTATTTATAAAAAGATGAGTTAAAGGTATAGCCAATAATATGAATAAGTGGAGATTACTTAATAATGATAATTTACTACCAGCTTTTTGCCTATTTCACTATATTTTAAAACCTAAAAAATTGATTTTAAAAGAACAGTTCATCAAGTTAAACAACCTTATATATTTAAATAATAAAGTTGCAAATCATTATTCTTTCAACAGTTTGAATCAAAAAATTATTCTCAACTATATATATAATAAAGATGATTTCTATACAATACATTAATTTACATAAAAAAGACTTTTATATATAAAAAATTATTTCCAATTGATAAAGTAGAACAGTTAGAATTGAAATATATAAATGATAATATAATTTTTGATATAAATATTATTAACCAATAGTATGATAAAAGGATAGAAAAATTAATAGAAACTAAGACCGCTAAACATAAATGAAAAGTTCAAGAAAATTCATCCAGCTATTTATTAGATTAAAAATAGACTTATTGTTTTAAGTTCATTTATTTTTTCTGTCAAGTTGTATCCTTTTTTTTAATCTTTTAAAATAAAATTTCCTTAAACATTTTACATCTAACAGTATTTATTATGTATAGCTAGTTTTTAGTTAGAAAAAAAAATACAAACTTTGGCTAAAGTTAAGTTATTTAAAGATTTTGGTTGTATTACTGTTTGTAATTGTAATATAACTGCATAGGTGATAGGTTGATCTTTTTCTCAGAAAAGTAGTCATATCTTATAAATTATAATACTTAATTCTTATATATATTTTATTTTTCTTATTTATATAAGTTTAATATAAGAAGCATAATTATAATATAATGACAAGATTACATTTATAAAAAAAAAAAGTTAAAAATAATTAAATTAAATATTAAATAATTATTTATAGAGTGATTTTAACGCTCACCAGTAGTGAAATTCACCCAAAGTAAAGTTCACCTATTACATAATTTATTAAAATTTAAATTGTTTTGTTTTAAAAAAACTAATAATTTTATTAGGATTAATTTTATATTCACCATTGGTTAATTTAAAATTAATTCACCAGGTGGTAAATTTCATCTCTGGTGAAATTCATCAGTAATATGATAATTTTAGTTTTATATTAATTTTATTTGTATTACGTTTTACAATTTCATATATGTAAATAAAAATTTTTTATGAATTTTTTTAAACTGTAACTTTTTTTCCAAACATACTATTAAACCCATACAACTCAATTTCATAAATTAGAAATGAAATTTATAAAGAAATTTGTGTTTTTTATAATACTACTAACTGTCTAACTCCTAAAGTTTTATATTTTTTATTTAATAACTTTAGAGTGTAATTTCACTACTTTAGTCAAATGAAATCAACTTCTTTTATTAATTAAAAGTTATTCAACAGAGCCAAAACTACTTGTATATTATTTTTTATAAGTATAGGTATAATACATATAAAGAACCCATATTTTTCATAATGGTACTAACTTTCAAATTTTTTTTTTATTTATTAACTTCAGAGCGTAATTTCACCACTTTAGTCAAATGAAATTGACTTTCTAAATTAATTAATAATTGTTCAGCAAGGCCGAAACTACGTGTATATTAATTTTCATGGGTGTAGGTATAATACCTGTCTCTTATACACATCTAGATGTGTATAAGAGACAGGTTTATGATTTTAAGTAATCTATATATAAAATCAATTTAAATAATACTTCATTTATTTTGCATCTTAAAAAGTTTTATAAATTCTACATAAATACTGTAGTTTTGAAGTTTTACATCTTAAAAAAATTTTTTAAATATACAATTTTAAGTAATTTACACATAAAAATGATTTAAGAAATACTTCATCGATTTTGTATTTTAAAAAGTTTCATAAATTCTACACAAGTAGGTAGTTTCAGTAATCTACACTTTAGAAATTTACATAAATATATGATTTTGCATAATCCACACATGAAAATGTAAAAATATTTTGAATAAATTTGAAGTTATATAAAATTTACACAAATAGGTAACTTTGGTAATATATTTTCGTAATCTATACTTTAAAAGAATTATATAAATACACAAATACAAAGATAAAAGGTTTAGGTATGTCTTTATTTTAAGATACAGTAAATATAAAATATAATATTAATAATTAAAAAAAAAAGAATAAATAGTGTAGTGGTTAGATAATGAGACTTAATATATTAATAATTTGTCTTGAAGTATTCAGTTTGACTCTTAGTGTAGTAAAAATAAATAAATAAAATCTAATTAATAGTTTGACTCTTAGTATAAGTAAAAAAAAAATAATAAAATGTAGAAAAATATCAGAAAAATATACAAGTAAAGGAAAGTTAGAAAAAGAATTATAAAGAATTTATTATTTTTACTGTTAAACTACATTGTTTTTTACTATTAAAAAACTATATCGTTTTTAAGAATACACTATTTTATACCATTAAAAAATTTCTTTAAAATTTTCACACTCGTATATATATTATCACAAATGGTGTAGATTTGTGTAGTTTTTCACATATGTATTATTTTATAGATCTACGCTTATTTTATTCTCCTGATGATGTAACTTTTATTTACAATTATATGCTATTATACTATCAAACAATAGAAAAGTTTATTAAACAGGTTATTCAATCCCCTCTTAAAGTTCCATTAGCTATAGCAAAAGTAGTATTTAATGAGAACAAATGCAGTAAGGTGTAATAGATTTATTCAATACTGATATCAAGAAATTAGTTATTTAAAACAACTTGTATATAAAGGAAAAAGGCCTTATAAAAGACATAAAAGTAGTACTAAATAGTTTATTCTAAATATAAAGAACAAGAATTAAATTCTGGTACAAAAAAAGTGGATTTATTTATAAAAAGATGAGTTAAAGGTATAGCCAATAATATGAATAAGTGGAGATTACTTAATAATGATAATTTACTACCAGCTTTTTGCCTATTTCACTATATTTTAAAACCTAAAAAATTGATTTTAAAAGAACAGTTCATCAAGTTAAACAACCTTATATATTTAAATAATAAAGTTGCAAATCATTATTCTTTCAACAGTTTGAATCAAAAAATTATTCTCAACTATATATATAATAAAGATGATTTCTATACAATACATTAATTTACATAAAAAAGACTTTTATATATAAAAAATTATTTCCAATTGATAAAGTAGAACAGTTAGAATTGAAATATATAAATGATAATATAATTTTTGATATAAATATTATTAACCAATAGTATGATAAAAGGATAGAAAAATTAATAGAAACTAAGACCGCTAAACATAAATGAAAAGTTCAAGAAAATTCATCCAGCTATTTATTAGATTAAAAATAGACTTATTGTTTTAAGTTCATTTATTTTTTCTGTCAAGTTGTATCCTTTTTTTTAATCTTTTAAAATAAAATTTCCTTAAACATTTTACATCTAACAGTATTTATTATGTATAGCTAGTTTTTAGTTAGAAAAAAAAATACAAACTTTGGCTAAAGTTAAGTTATTTAAAGATTTTGGTTGTATTACTGTTTGTAATTGTAATATAACTGCATAGGTGATAGGTTGATCTTTTTCTCAGAAAAGTAGTCATATCTTATAAATTATAATACTTAATTCTTATATATATTTTATTTTTCTTATTTATATAAGTTTAATATAAGAAGCATAATTATAATATAATGACAAGATTACATTTATAAAAAAAAAAAGTTAAAAATAATTAAATTAAATATTAAATAATTATTTATAGAGTGATTTTAACGCTCACCAGTAGTGAAATTCACCCAAAGTAAAGTTCACCTATTACATAATTTATTAAAATTTAAATTGTTTTGTTTTAAAAAAACTAATAATTTTATTAGGATTAATTTTATATTCACCATTGGTTAATTTAAAATTAATTCACCAGGTGGTAAATTTCATCTCTGGTGAAATTCATCAGTAATATGATAATTTTAGTTTTATATTAATTTTATTTGTATTACGTTTTACAATTTCATATATGTAAATAAAAATTTTTTATGAATTTTTTTAAACTGTAACTTTTTTTCCAAACATACTATTAAACCCATACAACTCAATTTCATAAATTAGAAATGAAATTTATAAAGAAATTTGTGTTTTTTATAATACTACTAACTGTCTAACTCCTAAAGTTTTATATTTTTTATTTAATAACTTTAGAGTGTAATTTCACTACTTTAGTCAAATGAAATCAACTTCTTTTATTAATTAAAAGTTATTCAACAGAGCCAAAACTACTTGTATATTATTTTTTATAAGTATAGGTATAATACATATAAAGAACCCATATTTTTCATAATGGTACTAACTTTCAAATTTTTTTTTTATTTATTAACTTCAGAGCGTAATTTCACCACTTTAGTCAAATGAAATCGACTTTCTAAATTAATTGATAATTGTTCAGCAAGGTCGAAACTACTTGTATATTAATTTTTATGGGTATAGGTATAATACATATGAAGAAATCTACGTTTTTCATAATGGTACTAACTTTCGAATTTTCTTTTTTTCCATTTACTAACTTTAGAGTGTAATTTCACCATTTTAGTCAAATGAAATTTACTTCCTTTATTAATTGAAAGTTGTTTAGCAGTATAAAATCTACTTAATACTTGTAAGATTTATCCCATTTTTTATAATAATACTAACTTATGAATTATTGTATCCCTTAAACTATTTTGCAGCCAAATTTGCCTGCAATTTTGTTTTTTAATTAAAGACACTTTTAAATACCTTAAAATATTTTATTATATAAACCAATATTTTTGTAATAAATTCTATAGTAATTTCTAAGTAAAAATTGAAAAAAAAGTTCAATTTGATTAATGGATTAATTTTATATTCACCAGTGGTGAATTTACCTCTGGTGAAATTCACCAGTAATATGATAATTTTAGTTTTATAAGTTTTATATTAATTTTGTTTGTATTACGTTTTACAATTTCATACACGTAAATAAAAATTTTTTTATGAATTTTTTTAAACTGTAACTTTTTTTCCAAACATACTATTAAACCCTTACAACTCAATTTCATAAATTAGAAATGAAATTTATAGAGAAATTTGTGTTTTTATAACACTACTAACTGTTTAACTCCTAAAGTTTTATATTTTTTATTTAATAACTTTAGAGTGTAATTTCACTACTTTGGTCAAATGAAATCAATTTCTTTTATTAATTAAAAGTTGTTCAACAGAGCCAAAACTACTTGTATATTATTTTTTATAAGTGTAGGTATAATACATATAAAAAACCCCATATTTTTCATAATGGTACTAACTTTCAAAATTGTTTTTTCATTTATTAACTTCAGAGCGTAATTTTATTACTTTAGTCAAATGAAATCGACTTTCTAAATTAATTGAAAATTGTTCAGCAAGGTCGAAACTACTTGTATATTAATTTTCATGGGTGTAAGTATAATATATATGGAGAAACCAACATTTTTTATAATGGTACTAACTTTCGAATTTTTCTTTTTTCCGTTTACTAACTTTAGAGCGTAATTTCACCACTTTAGTCAAATGAAATCGACTTTCTAAATTAATTGAAAATTGTTCAGCAATATAAAATCTACTTAATATTGTAGGATTTATTCATTTTTTATAATAATACTAACTTATGAATTATTGTATAATATATTATTATATTTAAACTATATATTTTATATAAATATTTTTATTAATAAAATTATTATTTTTTTCAAAACAAAACAATTTAAATTTTAATAAATTATGTAATATAGGTGAACTTTACCTTGGGTGAATTTACCCCTGGTGAATTTCACCACTGGTGAGCGTTAAAATCAGTCTTGATTAATAATTTTTTAAAAATAAATGATTGACAAATTATAACAAATAGTAGTTAAATTTTTTAAATTTAAATATCTTTTTATCCATTAACCTAGAAATATAAAATTACCACCATTTGATGCGTCTTAATGAAAAGAACTGAATCTGATAGAAATAAAATTGTCCTTCTACAAATATTATATAACAGGACAACTTATAAAATCTAAAATTTATAAATTAATATAACTTTTTCTTTATCAATTTTAGAGTTATGATTTTATTATTATTAAATGCACTTTAATAAGAGGAATCTAACAAATATAATTTCATTTTTCTATGATCACTAGATCTTAAGATATTTTAAAAATTCAAAAATTTTTAAAATTAATTTTAGCCCCTACAGTTTAAGGGATAATATATTATTATATGGACACTTTGCAGTAGAAAGAAACAAAACTACTAAAAAAAATAAAAAATGAGTTAATATAAAATCTGAACAAATTATAGCATTTAGAATATTTTTGGCATATAAAAGAAAATTTGAATTTTTTTAGTAGTTTCATCCCTTTTTACTGCAAAGCGCCCATATTTAAATTATATATTTTATATAAATATTTTTATTAATAAAATTATTAGTTTTTCAAAACAAAACAATTTAAATTTTAATAAATTATGTAATATAAGTGAACTTTACCTTAGGTGAATTTCACCACTAATAAGCGTTAAAATCACTTATATAGAATAATTTTATAATGTGAAAATTTTATAATACTTTTAATTTTAAAAAAAAATTATAGTATATAAAATGAATTAATTTTACATTCATCAGTAGTTAATTTAAAATTGTTTTACTAGCAGTAATTTGTTCAGAACAAAACTAAGAACTATATACTATTCATATCAGTTTTATAAATTCTATTATCTGCCTATTTACTATGTAAGTCAATGGCCATCCATTCATATTGGTTCTTTCAGTTACACATTACTTTTTATTTATATATGTGATAAAAATAGAACAAAAATTGTTTATTTAATAATTACAAAATACTATTTATTTTTAATAATCAGAAAACTATACTTCTTATTTATTCAATTTTCTATTTATTTGAAAAATAAACAAATTGTATATGTTTTTTTTATTCAAATTACCCATGTTTAATTAGGTTAATAATTTCACTTTTTGTACCATTCTTTAGTATAATTTTAATTTTATATTAATTTTACTTTACAATTTTGTATATATAATAAATTTTTTTTTTGAATTTTAAACTTTACCTTTTTTTTCAAATATATTATTAAACCAATTTCATAAATTAAAAATGAAATTTATAAAGAAAATTATATTTTTTATAATATGGGAGGCGGTCAGTAGAAAAGAGGGAAATTTAAAAATTTTAAGATTTTTAGTTATTAAGTTAATTTGTTTTCATGATCATGATTGGCAAAGTAAACTAATAAAAAAAAATTTTGACCAAAATTTGGATTTTCCTTTTTTCTACTGACCACCTCCCATATTATTAATTTCTAAAGTTTTATATTTTTTTATTTAATAACTTTAAAGCGTAATAATTTTACCACTTTAATCAAATGAAATCAATTTTCTTTATTAATTAAAAGTTATTTAATAAAGTCAAAACTACTTGTATATTAATTTTTTATAATTGTAAGTATAATATATATAAAGAAACTCATATTTTCATTCTGTATTCGATAGTATGTACATACAGCTTTTTTAATAAAGAAAGAATCATACATGCACGTTATTTATGACGTGTAGAGCGATTAAAAATTTTTTTAGCTAAAATTATACAGGAGTATTCAAGAGATGATATAGATACACAAGAATTAAAAGGTAAAATTAATGAGCTCGGTATGTAGGATATTGGATGTTTATATGATTTTACATTTTTAATGAAGAATCAAGTCAGTTGTCAGTTAATAGAATTATTAAGGTGCTATAAGATAATTGAAGAAAAATTGTTGTATAAGGTACTAAAACAAATAACTGGGAGAGTTTTATTAGAATTCAAAGTGCTTATTTGGAAACTAAGGAACGAGTTACAAATAAAGGAAGAAAAGCGGTGCGGTATTAGCGGTAAAGATAAAAAAGCTAAGTCACATAGTAAACGCACTGAAGTGGGTATTAAAGATATTGGCTGTAAGATGTTAGAAAGTAATTGGAATAAATGGAATGATTTGGCATTCCATCGAGGCGGTCATTGGGCAAATTTTTAGGTAGATCATGATAGTCACCTTTGATAACAATAATGTGATCGTTTAGGTGATAGGTTGACTTGTTCTTTATGAAAAGTAGTCTTGTTTCATAATGCTTAATTCTTATATGTATTTGTTTATCTTATTTTTTGTAAGTTTATATATGTAAGTAAGCGTGATTATAATAGGACATGATCGCATTTATAATAAAGTTTTTTTTAAAAAAAAAATAAAAATAAAAAAACTCATATTTTTCATAATACTACTAACTTACAAATTTTTTTTTTTTTATTTATTAATTTTAAAGTGTAATTTTATTACTTTAGTCAAATGAAATCAACTAATGTTATAGTATATCAAATTTTGCAACATTAACTGATATGAAAATATTATCGAGACTTTTTAAATATCTTTTATAACAAAAATTAGCTGGATATCTGGATCTAATATTAGACTTTAAATTTGTCCAATTGGTTTTTTAATTGGATAATTTTGGATTATTTAAAACCAGTTTTGGATATAATTTTGGATATAATTTTGAATAGTTTAAAGTTTTTCAAAAGTTTTAATATTCATCAACTAAAACTAAAAATAAAATATAAATATAATACTAGAATATTAAAAAAGTAAATATTTAATAAATTAAATAATAAAAAATTAATGTAAAATCAAAATAATATTAAAAATAATATTTAAAGATTACATATTCACTGATTTGTAAAATTTGCCAATCATTAATTATATGGTGTAGTACCGATTAAAATCAATTAAAACCTGTTCCTACATAAAAAAAAATGTCAAAAAATATATAAAAAAAACTTTCAAGACCTTTTCCAAAATATTTACTTCTTTAAATCAAAATCAATAGAAGGAGTTTCTAAAAAAAAGGAAAAAAATATTATAAAGTTAGCTTATTAAAAAAAAAAAAGAAAAACTTTATAAAATCTGGAATATTTAATGATTTAATGAAAAAAAATTAACTGGAAAATAATTAATAATAAATATCAAATAGATTTAATTAAACAACTAATCAATGCATAATCTAAATTCACTAAAATATTGTTATTAATATTTAGAGTTATTTATTTATTAAAAGAATTTTTTTGAATAATTTTGCTTTCTAAATAAATTTTTCTATAAACTATAAAAAATAAAAATAAAAAAACAGCTCTGAGTTGTATCTAATATAAATAATTACTAATATACTTGCAAAAATTCTTCAACTTACTTAATGTTAAAACTGGTTGAAAAGTTGATAGGGAAGTTAATAGGAAGTTTAATAGGGAGTTTATGAAGAAAAAAATTTTTAGCACTACTTTTTGTTGAAGTTTTTTCTTGATATCTGTTATATGATCATGTAATACCGTGATCCTAATTTTTATTAAATTATTGTCAAATTCCTTAATTTTAGATGAATTTTATTAATTTTGTAGATTGGCGGATATGAAATAATTTAATAATTAAATTAAAATTTAAATATTAGCTAAAATTAATTATAATTCTAACCAAAATTAAATTTTTGTTATATAATTTGTTCAAAACCTATCTAATGAAAAGGTTTTGGACAAATGTACTAATATCTAAATCAATTTTTTATTTATTAAAAGATATTTCAAAAACATTAAAAAGGCAGCTTTACAATTTTTAGTTTAAAGATTAAAGGAGTAGCCATAGGAATTTCAGATCTTGCATTATTTAGCCCAAAATTCTTTTATATGGCAAAATTTTTAATATGGCAACTTGTATTTCTAATTCTTTATAAATAAAAGCAGTAATATCATTTTCACTTTTTTTCTTAAAAGTTCATAGTTCTATTTAATTTATATATTATTGCAAAAAAAAAAAATTAATAAATAAATAATGAATTTTAAAAATATTTACCAATTGGTATCACATTACTGGATGGTATTAATGGAGAAACAAAGATATTATAACTGGTTCATTTATTTCAACCTGTTTAAAAGCAAAATTCAGAAATATAGGATTCAAATTGGTCTTTTTATCTTTAAGTGAATGAAGAGTGATTTTAAATTAATAATTTTAAGATTTAAAGAACCTTCTAAATTCACTATTTCATGAATCATATAAAATAAAAGGAAAAGAAAGAACTAAGTAATTAAATTCTACTTCAAGAAGTAAAAGATTAATATAAAACTTTAGCTGTAAATGCTCATTATAATCGCTATCACAACCACATCACTACCACCATAACAGCTGCAACTGCAACCCAACTACTACCACCAGAAAAGAAATTACCATTACTATCTATTACCATTACTCTAATAACATGTTTATTATCACAAAAATTCAAAAAATTTGATCTAAATCTCAAATTGAATCATCTGATAATCACATGCCAAGTGCCAACTATTTGAAGGCCAATCAAAATTTTTCTGATTGATTATAAAAAGTGGATATACAACCTTGTCTTAGACTTGACATTTATCTTTTTTCATATTATATATATATATATTTTCGCAATTATATGAACCACAACCATTATCACCACCATATAAATTAAATACTGGAAAATGTATCAACTGCCTTATTTATACTAACCACAACCGCGAACCGCAACCCGTAACCGTAACCGCAATCGTCACCCTGCTACCTTGCCTCAACCATATGCAAATTACCAACCAATATCATATGAAGATAATCAACCACAACCATTACTATCTAAAGCATGCATAGTTATAGTAAAAAAATTTTATTGAAGAAGTTGGTATCGAGAGTGTTTCGCGTGTAATGAGAATCATTATGTGTATTTTTTCTTTTTATCTTGTGTAGTCAAAAGAGATATATGAGTCGTTGGGTAGTATATAATAGGATGTGATTTATTTATTTCTTAGTCGCGTGATGGGAAAGAAGCTAACAAAGTCATTCACAAACCGAAGATCACGATCATTGTAATGAACCATTAGTCAAGGTTATTATAACACCATTAAAGGAACCAAATGCTTTACCTTCAAGTCCCTATAAGATTTTATATTACGAAAAAAGAGAATATCTATAATAGTTCCAATGACCGACATGAAAGAATGTCATTGTAGATCAAGTGTGTTTGGTGTGTAACGTGAATTATTATTTGATTCATTGTAGGTGAATTGATGGGTAGTGCATAATGGAGGACGTGATCTATTTATTTCTTAGTCTCGTGATGGAAAAGAAACGAAATTAACAAAGTCATTCACAAACCGAAGATCACGATCATTGTAATGAACCATTAGGCAAGGTTATTATAACACCATTAAAGGAACCAAATTCTTTACCTTCAAGTCCCTATAAGATTTTATATTACGAAAAAGAGAATATCTATAATAGTTCCAATGACCGACATGAAAGAATGTCATTGTGTTTGGTGTGTAACGTGAATTATTATTTGATTCATTGTAGGTGAATTGATTGGTAGTGCATAATGGAGGACGTGATCTATTTATTTCTTAGTCGCGTGATGGAAAAGAAACGAAGTTAACAAAGTCATTCACAAACCGAAGATCACGATCATTGTAATGAACCATTAGGCAAGGTTACTATAACATCATTAAAGGAACCAAATTCTTTATCTTCAAGTCCCTATAAGATTTTATATTATGAAAAAGAATATCTATAATAGTTCCATTGACCGACATGAAAGAATGTTATTGTAGATCAAGTGTGTTTGGTGTGTAACGTGAATTATTATTTGATTCATTGTAGGTATATGTGTTGATGGGTAGTGCATAATAGGGGATGTGATCTATTTATTTCGTGTGGTGATTAATGAAGATTATCATTTTCCTTATCTTATTTAGTAAAGGTGTATTATTGAAGTGTAGTGTATGGTGGAGAGTGTGTAGTCAATGTATTATTACTAAATTACTCGTATTACCTTTTTTTGTTGTTCTGACATTATGAAAACAATAAAAAATTATTGATGCCATTCATTCATATTATTGACCGTATCAATTTTAAGTACGTGATTTTGTAAAGCATCATTACCATAATTACCATATGTGCATTGAATTTAATAAATTGACCAAGGTAAAATTGATTCATTTTTACTATCTTAACTAAAGTATTCATCTAAAGGAATTTTATTTATTATTGCTTCTAATTCATAATAGAGTTGGTATCTCAATTATCACTGATCTTTAAAAAGTATCTTATATTTTGAAACTATTGTTTAATGATAAGAAACTAACAATTATTTATTTTTATGCTCAAAATGAAAATTATCAAACGTAAAATTTGTACTATCAGAGACCTAATGTTTATGTTTTGTTTTGTCCAGCTCCTTTCGTTTTCCCCTTTCGTTTTCATTTTACCCTTACCATTCTCTCACTATTGTTAAAAAAACCATTCTCCCACTGTAATTAGAAAATTATTAAGAAACGCCCAATTTCCCGCCGCATTAGAAAAAAACCAAATAGACAAGAAGAAAACCAAAATCTCCTCATGGATCTATTTCCAGAGAGAATTGGCGATAACAAATTTCTACAAGCCTATAACAATTAGAAGTTCTTGTAATCAGAGATCCCGACAGTTTTGATGTGACAAAATCCTACATAAATCAGAAATACAGTAATCTTGTCTTCATTTTCCAATTGTTTACCAGCGTTGCTCCACCAATGACAATAACGAGTACTGATGCATGTCGGATCTGCTCCGTTTGTATATCCTTTGAAGTTAAAAAAAAAAATCAACTAAAATATTAAATATTAAGACAATTAATGACTTGAAAATAATAAGGATTTGCCGAGAATCGCATATCATGTTAAAGAGGCAACATCATCAAATACATCAAATATTCTATATTTCTTCGATATCTCAGAATAAATACCAATTACTATAACTTTCTAATAAGATTGTACATTTTTTCTAAATTAATTTAATAAATTAATATACAATGACATACTTGTTATGCTACGCATGAATATTTTAGATCAATCGATTCCCTTTTTACTAATTTCTTTCCGGATTTAAATTCAGGAGGGGTTGGCTCGTATTTTACTATACTGCTCTTACGCCAAATTTTCGCATAAGAGCATTTATACTGCTCTTTTTTCTTCAGCGAAAAACTGATGGCCATCGCTGTTCTTTTACGGCAAAAATACCGATGGCAAATCCAAATCAGGTCAATCAGGCCAATCTCGCTTCAAGCAAGAGTCTTTATATCGTTATGATTGACCATTAGTTTTTTTAACTTATATTAAATAGTTAATAATTATTAGTAATTAAGGTAAAAAATGAATAATAAGAATGTGGAATAAAATTTACATACTGTTGAATCCCATATGCTTATGAAATTTTATGGCGCATTATGGTGTTCATAAAACGATCCAACATAAACATAGTACATATGTAGAAGATGATAAGTTTGCTCTATCGAATTATCAATTGCTTGTACTATAGTATTGCTTCATGGATGTCTATATACAGTCTAATGAAAGTACAACAGCAGTTGCCGCTGCTTGCTGCAAGTATTAATTATGCTGCGTGATCACTTCCATCAGATTTGATTAATAATATTTAATTTTCCACACTAATCCTTCTTTCAATACACATTGAATGCTATTGACAACATACGGTATTTGAAAAAACATGATCCAATTTGTATCCAAATTAAAAATCTTCGTTTAACGAAATTCTCCACGGATTGGAACATGCAAAATATCTAAGAAAGCAAATAATATTAATAAAAAAGAATAAAAAAATAATTTACAATACCAAAGAATGTTAAAAGCAAATATTGTACATACAATGCAATAAGACTCCGAAATCACAATTTACCATTAGTGAAATCCAAAATTATTTTTCAATAAGGAACTGACGCACCATACCTAAATTCTACCCTCAATAACTATTCACTATAACCAAATTTCTCATGGGTGTAAATCATCAATCTTCACTCGCTTTATAAAATAAAATCGCAAATTATTGTTTGGCATTGAAACATCTTCATTATCTAACTCAAATCAACCGAAAAATCGATAAGTTGGATCATATCAACACATCACAGCCCAATATATCATTATCAGATGACTATAATCGTCATTTTTCTAATGAAACTTTCGTCCAGACAGCTAGAGTTATATTAAAATGATCTTTAGCAATTAAAATTATTAAAATACTAATCCATTAAATATAACATACCTTGTCATACAAGTTTTTCCTTCGGTCCCCAAATATTAATTCTTTGCTATTGAATATTGCACGTCGAAGCCTGGATTTATATATAGATCCGGTCATTCCAAAAAAAGTGTTCACAAGATTCAGCACCATGAAGCCAAGGATGTAAAAGTGTCAGTCATATTTGGACCAAGGTAAATATTTAAAATCCATTTAATTTCGATTAAAATAATTACTCATTATAAAAAAGATAAATAAAGAGTCCCTTCGATACTTGGCTGAATTTATTTATTATTAATTAAGCATTGTTTAAATGTGATGAAAAAAGCTCTATATGCTGCAGCATCATCATTTTTCATTTTTTAAACATTGGTGATTGATTGGTTAAAGAAGAACTATGTATTGAACTGATGTTGCGCCAAATGAGCGCCAAATGAGCGCCAGCTATGGCAGCAATTCCCTAGCATGTTTGGGATCCTGAACACGTACTACTGAGCCAAATTGTCCAAAAGTTTTAGTATATAAATATTTAAACTGTGAAGGAATTTCGTCACATTCCAGCAAGGATTCTGGCCTAGAATCCCTAGAATCTGTTCATCCATTATTCAGCAAATAATAGCTTCATTATCCTTTCGTGATAACAGTAAAAGTGACATATTTTCCTGCGGATATATACTCTGGTTCTAAATATGAGTATAATATTAAAATATTTCTATATAAAAGATAGCAAAGTTGCCTTTGCGAAGGTTCCATCAGACGCTCTTCTACACTCCTGTAGCTCGTTACCAAATAATCAATACCTTTCTTTTAAAATTATTTCATGGTTTTGAATTGAAATTACATTATAGGTAAGTTGGCTATAGTGACACCTCTCTAAGTGCACCTCCCTTGGGACTATAGTAAAAAAATAGTGGAATGTGTAATCTTAGTGTAGTGGTAGTTGTGTAGTGGTCACTAGACACTAGAGAGGGTGCAGTAAATATTAAGCACTTGAAGAGAATTTATATAGGTGTCACTACATGTTTTTCGTGATACTTGTGTCACAGTGTCATCATGATAAATGAAGATTTTTGTGCTAATTTTTTAATTTTTTTTTTTTAATACCGTACCAAACAATTGTTGTGAAATCTTCAATAGAAAATTCACTGATCAAATCTTATAAAAATAAAGCATAGCAAGTTCTTCCTTCAAAATCTGTTTCTACCCTGATTTATTAATAACAAAATTATAATTATAAAAACGAAACTTGGACAAAAGGAAATAGTATATAAACCTTCTAAAAAAAAAAGAATGTGGATGATAACGATAAAAAGGTATCCAGATGCTCTTGTCTATATTCAAAAGAAAAATGTCATTCATCGAGATTTGAAGCCAGAAAACATATTATTGTCAATTGATGATATTTCATTTGATTTTATTATAATATGATTTTATTCATTTGATTTTATCATAGTATGATATTATTCATTTGATTTTATTATAGTATGATTTTATTCATTAAGATAAAGATTTCGGGTTTTGGATTGGCGATTCATACAAGCAAGAGACGTATGACATTCTGTGGTACGCTTAATTACTTGGCAATCGTATCAGAGAAAGACGGACGAGTATTATTCCTAATAAAAGTCGGCTGCTGTCATTACCCCTATAAAAGTTGAAGAAAGTGACTCTCCTGATATCATAGTAGGTTTGAATAGATCTGGTCCAACGACTCCGGAGGTGGAGAAATGTATTTACTTATAAAACCTTTAAGTTTTCTCACCAAATGTCACGAGATCTTGTTATATTACAGCTTTAATATTGTGCTCGAACAAGTTTGAACCCATCTAATGAGGATCAGCTGTTAAAGTTCCGTTAGAACTGGTTAGAACTTCCAAGACTTAATATAAAATTCTCTAAATCAAAAGCTCCTATTATGAAACCTTCTGATGCAATTACTTCAGTCGCTTCACCTGCTTCATCTAATACCACACAATTGTGGACAGTAAAATATCGCAAAAATCTTGGTTATTTCGTGGTAAAGTGAAAGATGTGGAAAGATGGCTTAGCGAATGAGATAATGGTTCAAATTTAAGAGAAAAGATCAGATAGCTGGAATTTCTTAGATTATGGTATGTCTTTTGCAGAAATAGCGACAAGTAAGAAGTTTTCAACAAAATCACATGTGGGTGACAGTTTAATAATATTAAATGAAAATAATTTTAAGATTTGTAATCATGAAGACGAAAGTGATCAATTTCCAAACCACAGAATTAGAGGGGTAATATTCGTATAGAAGAAATATTCAGAGATGAGTACAGATTACATAGAGATAGATTGAAAAATAGAGGAGGTTTATTTCTTGAACAATTAATTGAGCCGTACACGAATAGGATGATGAAATGGTCGCATTTTTTGGCAAAGAATAACTTATGTAAAGGACCAGAACCGTTATGGTACAAGAAATTAAGTGAAATGGTGATAGATGTCGAAGAGGATGACAGGGTTGTCAAACACATTACTTCATTTCAAGAAATCTTGACGAGGGAAAACAATACTAAGGAAAGAATTATTGCCTAGTACGAGGAAAGAAAGTAATAAAGAAATAATAATGTGGGAAAAGGGGGGAAGAAAATTTATTTAGTATAAAGACAAAAAGATCGAGAAGTAAAAATTATGATGAAGTGGGTAAACATTTAATTGTGCATGAAGAGTTGGAGAATGAGAATGAAAAGTTTAACTCGCCATTCTTAGTGAACTGTAAAGGATGAGTATATAACATTAGTAGGAAACGTAGTGCGGGGCAATGTTTGGTGTATATTGAAAAGAGATAGCGACGATGACAAAAGGGAGGAAAATTGAGAATAGTGGAGATGAGAGTATAGTGAAACCATATATGACATCAGAAAATATAGAAGCGCAAAATGAATCAGTGATAGAGTCGAATATAAAAGAAGTGAAAGAAATGGACGCGAATGTTATGTTGATTGATGACAACAAGATGGACAGTATGGATAATAGTATGATGTGATTACATTATATATTAGAAGACAGTGATGCGACGGACAAATTGAGAAACTTTATAAAAGAAAGAATAAGAGGATTCATTGGCAAAGAAGTAATAGTGAATGTGGGTGCAGATATTCAAAAAGGGAGAGAATTGTGTTTGAATGGGTTTTTTGGGAACGAGCTAATACCAAAAAATAGTGATATTGATAAATTTAACTTCGAAAGAAAATTAAGATTCGTGAAAAGTGGATGATTATCGCGATAATGATATTGCCATGTAATATAAAAATAGAAATAAGAACAGATCTAAATATCATTGAATGGTTATATAGTTATTGTAAAATGGGGAGTGCAAGGAGAGAACTAGATGATAAATTGTATATATATTTAAATTTTATCAATACGCTATTGGAGTTAAAGAACGTAAAGATGTTAGTTAAAGACGACAAAGCTGAGATACAAAAAGAAATTCAAGACGGGAAGGTACCTGCGATAAAAAAAGCGCTTGTTAGTTGTAAAGAAACGATTGGAGAAGCGATCAAATAAATAATTTGTTGGTTGATGAGTTTGCGTTAAGATGGAATTATATTCCGATAGAAGGTGCATTCAGATCATGGCTTAAAGAGTTGAGTTTTAATAACACGAAAATTGACATAATGTTATTGGATTATGTTAGAGATTGTTTCATAGAATCAGATGGAAGGAATATAACGATAGATTGGAGCGCATCATTTAAGTTAATAAATAACGAGATTACAACGTCAAAAAACGTTACGAACAGAGATGATGCTACGACAAGAAGTTTCAGAGTCAAGAATTTCTTGAAAATTCTGCCAACATTACAAAGTGTTATGGGAAAGGAAAGTGTGGGGTATTGATAATAATAATGTGTCCAAGATGTTCATTAGAAGAGGAAACATGGGAACCTGTGAATATGTAGTAAAAAATGTGCGGATAACACTGAATATAATATCTTTTTTAATAGTATCGACGAAATTTTGAATAATGACGGTGGCGTATGCAATGGAGAAGAAAAAGTTCGTTTTAAAGAAAGGATTATAGATTTGGCGGAGAATTGCTCGTTAATAACAAAAACAGAAAAGTTAATATATGAAATAAAAAGAGGAATTGTAAACAAGAAATGGTGGACGCTCTGCAAGATTAAAGGCCAGCATGAGTTACAATTTCGCATATTTGATGAATTTATGAGGAAATACAGCAACAAATTTGGATTAACAGGTGTAATGATACGATTGAATTAGAAAAACATTTGGGAATTACAAAGATTTAAAAAGAAAGTAAAAGAAAAAAGAAGATAGTGGTGCAGAGAGGGATGAAGATATAGATAGTGAAAAATTAGAAAATAAAAAAAAACAAATAAAAGAATTAAAAAGTTATAAAAAATATAATGCTAGAGAATAGTAAAGATGACGTATTTAGGTTAGGTGTTAGTGATAGAAAATTATGGGGAAATAAAGTGATTAGTAATTTAGTGAATACATGGACTAGATAGTTAAATTTTTACTTCGTTTTATTATACGGAGATTTGATATGGAGAGATTTAGGATGCTAATATTTCAATGTATTTTTTGTATTTAATATATAACTTGTTCTTCTACAGTTACTAATAAAGAAAAAAAAATAGTCTATAGGAAACAGAGAAATCACATAACGACTGACGTGACAATCCAATTCACTTCCGCCGCCGGACAAACAACAGATGAATTTAGAGAGCAGTTCAACAGAAGATAGATCCGTATTAAAGTAATAATAATTTAACAATAATGTTTTTTAAATAGAAATTTCAGTGACAACACAACAAGTAATCAACTTCGTAGAATAATACAATAATGCTTTGAAATGAAATGAAAATTATTTGGGTCAATGACGCTTGATGCGTATGGCTTGTTAAAGAAATTCAATAAACATAATAATAATACTGTGCGACCACGTATCACGAATTACTTGATCAAAAAATAATCAATTCACATTTTTTTTCAATGCATAACTTAAAATGTTAACAAGTATGAACTTTCATTGACTAGAATTTTTGGTATGAAAATCGATATGATGGCTTGATTGTTGATAAAAAAAAAATAAATTTGTTAAAGATAATTCGATTGATATAAAAATTGATATAAAAATATAAAAAAACTGTTAAAGCCCAATACATAATAAATTTTTTTTTTTTTTTAACTAAAATCCCCTCCTCTATATCTATTCATTATAGCTATAATTTTAAATTTTTTTATACCGATGAGGTATAATCGACTTGTTAAATATCATTATTCTATTGTTAAACTTGAATAATTAGTATTAAACAAAAACAATAATATATTGCATAACTAGCAAAAAGTGTCTTTTTATTTCAAAAAAGACGGATGTTTAAAAGACGGATGTTTTAAATTTAACTTCAGATGGTATTCAGGTGATTCAACTATTATTTTTCCTATTTGAACATGCGATGAAAGAAATAAAAAGAACAATAATGAAAGAACACATGATTAATTACACAGAAAAAATTATTAAACTTTGAAGTAGAACATAATAAAATAAAGAGAAACAAAATTTCCGGATTTCTTAGCCTTAACTATTTTATTGAGTGAAAAAGAACTTTTTAATGGATAATTTTAAATGACAAGTGATGATGAGAAGAAAGACAGTCTAAATTAGTGATGCAGTTGGAACTGCCCCAATGAATTGGCCAGCATATAAAGGATATAGCGGATTGTGGCTACAATTACGACAAAACCCAACATGCCGTTAATGTTATTATTGCCGTAACTTTTACTGTGGCCAATGATTCCGCAGAGTATAAATAATTTAAATAGTCTAATAGCATAAAATAGTTTAATAGTTTAAATAGCTGCTTAACAATATAAATTTTTAAATCTCTCCGAATTTATATATTTCATGGTTTGTATTTTTCAATAATTTAAAGTGATTGAAAATATTCTAAACTGTGACAACAATGATGAGCAAAGCGCTTCAGAGAAAGAATTATACCAAATATTACATATGCACAAGTTACGGTGTTTACGGTACATATATCAGTTACGGTACATACAACTCAGTTGTCTCTAGTCTATATACTGTATATAATAAAACAATCATGCAAAATGAATACATGTTATCATCAGTATCATCAGTTGATTTAAATTATCATGAAAAATATATTTATTTTTGAGAGATCAATGCACCAAACCCGCATACTTCACAAATAAAGTATTTTGTGACATCACTTTCAACTCGTCTAAAATTAGATATAACATCCCAATTCCCCTCAGACCCGCTGAGATCAAATAAGAGACAGAAGTATAATGTCGTCACGAAGTTATTGGGAGGTCTTAAAGCAGTATTGGGATTTGCCCTCGGCCAAAGGATTTTTTGCCAACAGCTAAATGGCCAAACGGCCAAAACAATCAACAGTCTTAAAGGCAACGAATGTTGTTCCTCAGATTGATTCTTTGCCTCAGATTAAAGCGACCGCTGCGTGAGATCAATACCATATCACGTGCATTCCATTTTATTATGTAGCTCATCACGTTGTATATACACGTCCTATTGGTACCATTGATAGGCGTTAATCTGACAATATACAGTATACTGTATATCAATTCATGCGCTGAAAACAGGATGTAACCACATGGCGCTACTCAACGTCCAGGCAAAAAGCAAAGCCCAATGACTGAGGATAAATGTCACATCCAATTTTCATTTTTTCTAGACGAAGTTTAAAACCCAAAAACCACTTTAATATTTTAGAAATAGATTGTCAAATAATAATGAAGAACTTTTTTTCCTTTCAAATAATTGAAATTCCGCCAGTTCAAGTCTCATCCTGTAACTTAATAAAATATTACTGCATTACAATAAAGGTCATAAATTTTGTTATTTCAAGATCCAACAAATAATAACATGCAAACAATTTTAAGAATGCTTAATGTATTAAAATAAATAAATATATAAAAACAACAGAACGCATATTTTGATATAATTACTAATTGGGTACCGGATGTGTTTAAGTTACAGGTAATCTTTCTATAATAATCAAAATAATATTATTCGACGTAAATTTTTTACAAAGAAAAAAAATTTGTATTATCTATTGACGTTACATCGTATTTTCATAGGTCGAATCCACCATTATGTCCGAATTAAGGAATGATCTCAATAAAATTAGCAAATTAGATACTGTATATTATAATTTTAATATTACTTAAATGGTATATATTTAACAGCGGCTAAAGCTTTTCTAAACTCTTTTGGGTCTTATATTATGCATGATAAACTTTCAGATTATGTAAAAATAATACCTTAAATATATTCACAAAAAATTTCTTTTAAATTTTTGTTTTTAATTGTACAATTTTTATTCGCTTGTGTTATAATGTAACTTTCAGCTTTTATATTACAGAAACTTTTTCAATACATTTTTTCACTGGCTGTATGTTTGGTTATGGATTAAGCATAGATAAATAAATAAATATATATGTATCTCCTATTGACGATGCTTATTCGATTTACTATATTTGAGTTCATTGTCACAAATGATTATTTCCGGCTATTTTATTACATGATAAGAAAATATATGAAAATTGCGGCGCTTTCGTGTATAACCACATAAAATTATGTTACTTAATTTTATTTATGTTAAATAACTTAATATACATTTATGTAAAATATTTCGGGATGAAGTAAAATCAATTCCGAACTTGCATTTGTTATGGTGAAGGTACTAAATTACATCAATGTAAGAAAATAGAAAAGCTGAAACAAAATACTACGTTTAAAATTTAAGCAACAAATATAACAAAATAAAAATAAAATTTATATAAAAAAATAACTAAACTATATCTATCATATTAGATATATTGTGTAGAAGTTTACATGAAGAGAAAAAAAAAATGAAAAGTAAAATATTTAAAATATTTTAATAATAATATACATTGACAGTAAATTATTTAAAGTGCAGATTGCGGCGAAAGCGATTGAATTGTATAGAGCTTTTCGCGCCATTTGTTTTTTTCGGTTTCTGGTAAAGCATTCCACTTTTCTAACATCATTCTGCTGCAAACGGACGTATTCATTATAGTAGGCCTGTATCTACTTATCATTACGTTACGAAAGTAAATGAACACATTAACTCTTTTTTTCCTATCTTTTTCAACGTATGGAACAAATCGAATTGGTTTTATTGGTTTCATAATTAAAATTATTAAAATTGAAAGATAGTTTTTTTAGGAATTTAGGAAATTTATGAGAAATTTTTTGTTTTGTTTTTTTTTTTCTTTAGAACTTATTGCGAGATGAAAATAAATCTATCGTTTTTATACTTTTGGAGAAATAATCATTGATAATAAATTATATTGAATTGCGCCAAATAACGATTCAACACATACGACAGCTGTATTGAAGATAAATAAATTTACAATACCTGTGCATATATTTTCATGCGCACAATAAATAGCCGAAATCCGAGAAACTTCCTAAATAAATTGATATCTCTTTCATTATACGCTTCAATGATTGATAATAACACAAGGGAAATAATTAATACACATTTGTAAGTCTATAAGAGCGATGCGTGAAACGAATATGGTTAAACTATATACAAAAGCTATATAATTTCAATGAATAAAGAATCATAATAAAGGAATGATTTGGCTTTACGGAAAAGGTTATGTTCAATCCATACAATTCTAAAAAGAGAAATTAATATAGTAAATATACCGCTGTATTTGTGTGTTTTATAGCTAGGGGCAATATATTGTTAGATAGAAATATAAATTAATTTAAAATTAGTTCATATGTCCAAATCTGGAGAAGATAAAAGAAATCTATATCCTTTCAAACATATTTTTTTTTTCAATCAGCTTTATGTTATTTGAAATATTTGATTATCTTATCTTTTATTCAGCCAGTCGGAATTGACTGAAAAAAAATCAAATAAAGAAACAACTGAAAGAAATGAGTTCTAAAATTGAATAAAATTAAAATACATTCATATATGAACCGAACTTATTATATAAAACTATATAAAATTTTAGAGAATACGTAATATATAGCATTAAAGTTTATTGTAAAAATACGTGTTTAACAATATAAATTATATTTATTTGCTAAAAATGATCCTCGGCCGTAAAGAATTGAATAATTGGTAGTACGATCAACGTTACAGAAATATAACTTGGGTTTTATTGTATGCATGAATGCACACAGATTTTAAACTTAACTTTAATCGCAACACCTTTTAATTTAA